GTGTCTTGACGGTCTCCTTTCATCGCCAACATAACTTTTGGGAACAACCAGAAATCTGCTGGAGCCAAATCTGGCGAATACGGAGGATGATCAAGGACTGTGATCCTTTCTCTGGCCAAAAAAAATCGAGCACGATCTTCGATTTGTGGGGTGGGGCATTGTCGTGGAGGAGCGACCAGGAACCTTGCTCTCTATATTCAGGTCGAAGTCGAAGAATTCTCGCCCACAAACGATTGAGGACCCCAAGATAATAATCAGAATTCACTGTTTGACCTTCTGGCAGAAATTCCTTGTGAATGATTCCTTTGGAATCGAAGAAAACGTTTATTAGTGTCTTTACTCGACTCTTTTGCATGCGCACTTTCTTTGGGCTCAACCACGCTGCACTCTGCCGCTTTGTGAGAGGCTCATATTTAAAACGCCATATCTCGTCACCAGTAACAATCGATTTTGTAAATTTTGTATCAGTTTGGCCCGACCGTAACATGTCNTTTGCAGTGTTTCACTTCCACTCTAGCATGTTTTTCATCGCCTGACAGCGCGTGCGGTACAAACCGCGCACAGACCTTCCGTTTGCCCAAATCCTCGGTCAAAATTTGATGCACAGTACTTTTTGGTATTCCCAAAAGCTCCTCGATGAGTCTTGCAGAAACACATCTGTCTGATGCAAGGATTTCGTTCCCTTTTTTCACATTTTCTTCAGTGCTACTTGTTCTCGGCTTTGATGCACGTGGAGCGTCTTCAATGTCCTCCCTGCAGTCACGAAATACAGCATACCATCGAAAAATGTTCGAGCGGCCCAAACAATCACTACCGTACACACTTCATCATTTCGTACGCTTCTCCGGCTGTTTTGCCTAACTTCAAACAAAATTTGATGTTGGCTCTCTGTTCAACCGCCATTTTCCGACGAGCGTCAGAACAGTAGTGTCACATTTAAGGTCAGAACACATGATGCAGCGGTGCTTGCGCTTTAAAATTATAGACAACCACAGCTGAAACTTCAAGAATCTTAACGCCACAACTCGACAACAGATGACATTGCAGGGCAAAATTAAAAAAAAAAAAAAAAAATT